AATCTGCTTCTTTTTCTTTTCCTTTTTTTATTTTATTTTCAATAATTAATTAATTTTAAAAATTACTTATTTAAATATTCTGTTACAAGAATTATGCAAAAAATATTTAAGGACGATGATCTTGAAATATTTGTGTTCCTTTTGTTTAATATTTCGATGGTCTTGGAAGATTCGAAGATAATCTACCAACATATTAATTTATTATCTTAGTTTATGTAGTTTTTAGTTAGCCTCTCTTGGCCCCATTTTCTAAAATTATTTTTTTATAAAACTCAATTTTAATAAAAAATTCTCCCCATAAAATAATTTTGCATGTAAACATATAACCTTTCAATGCTTTTAAAACCACATATTCTCTAAGGATAAGAGTTACAAACATGGCTTTAATTTTCAGTTTTTATTTTATTGTAGTGTTAAATTCTTCTTAATTTGTAATTCAAAAATTAGTAATTCACAAAAACTTAGTAATTTTCACGAGAGCACCGATTGACCCTACAAAGGATACTGTTGTTACCTGATCAACGGTTTATCGCCTTGGTTGTCAATGATCGACCAGGCTTAATAGTCGACTGTGGACCGATGTCGATCGAGGATCGATCAACGATGCCCGAGCGTGCATCATAGGAGTGGGTGCAGTTTGGTTTGGTCCGATTCTAAAGAGAATTGAACCGAACAGAATACCAATGAGAATTTTAGAAAATGGAACCATTGGTTCTGTAGTTATCTATGGAACCAAACCAATTGGTTCTGATTCGGTCTGGTCTAGTTCTTTGCATTGAAAATGTCAAAATAAAATGTTCACCACTAAAAATTCTAAAAATGCTACCAATTTGATACTTTTAACAAAATATAGAAGAACATACTATTCAAATATTAAAAGAAAACTAACTATACTAATTTAAAAAAATATCCAAATAATATAAGTTACTATCATTAAGCAATTATCAACTTATATAAATTGCATAGTACTCCAATGATTAAACAAGCTTCCATCAAAATCAAAATCCTACATTGAATTGGACATCCTTTAAAAATTTATTGCAACTTCTGGTTCTGTCGATTATAAATTGTAGAAATCTAGATGAAAAATTTCGATTGGATCAATAATTATGTAATGAAAGTGAAAACAAAATAAAAATTTCACATCTTATGAAATTATATATTGTAAATAAATTTATTTAGATATAGATTTACCCAATATTCTAATTTGGCTTGAGAATCAATTAATCAAAGAATTATAACTAGAGAGAAGGAAAGTGCTAAAGTCTAAAATTAGAAGGAACCCAATTATTTTTGATAAAAATGTTAGAGATTGAGTTATATATTTTAAGAAAAATAAAAAAATAAAAAATAAAAAATCCTATGAAAACAGTCTGGTTCCCGACGGTTCCCATGCTAGAACCAAGAACTGGACAATTCTTAATAATTTGTCCCGCAATCAAATTGTTGTTTAGAAGATTTGAAATCGAACCAACTGGTTCTAAACAATTCCGATCCGATTCCACCGGCTCCTGGAAAAAATGTACACTCCTAGTGCATCGAGTGGTCCATTTGAAGATGGGTTGATCAACTTATTCGCCCCCTCGTTTCTACTTTCATTGGAAGATGAAGTTAAAATAGTTTTGGGAGGTCTCCAGCCCATTATATAGGTGAAAATTTTGAAATATTTTTGGGAAAAATTTCCTCCAAAACCAAATTCACCCATAGGGTGCCATATGTACAATACCTTTATTATCCTACGCCACTTGGATTGCCAGACCCAATTATATCATACCAAGTGTTAATATGTGATAAGTCGATTTAAAAGAATATCAAATCAGCGTGGAAGAGTGAAGACGCTACCCTTTATCGATAAAGATCGACAAGCCGTAGATATGCTAGTGATATTAGATGGCAACAATAGTTATCTATGATGGTCAACAAGGTGAGGGCTACTCAATAAGCACTCTACGTAGAGCACCCCATGCTAGGCTATCTACCATTACGAGGCCTTCTTCTTGCTTGCTAAGCCGCCTACCACTACGAGGCCCTCTACCTCCGCACTGGGCTATCGACCATTGTAAGGTCCTCTACATTAATACTAGGCCACTTACCACTAGAAGGCCCTCTACATTCAAGTTAGGCCGTCTATATTCATGTTAGGCTACCTACCACTATGAGGCCATCTACTACTGCGAGGCTAACACAACAGTTAGCCATAAAAATGTTCTTGAGTTGGATGGAACAGTTCAACGGTTCTCATGGACATAACTAACCGTTGGATAGGTGGAAGTGCCCCACTCATAACGTGAGAATTAGTGGAAGGTGCTATATGGGACATATGGCATGATAAGCAACTAGTAGTTACATGACTTCAGACACTTACAAATACTCATAAGGTGAAACTGATATGGATCTTAAATTATTAGCTATATGAACATGCATTCTATCTTTTTTCCTAAGTGTACGTTCCTAAAAGCCATACTAATTTTCACGCCGTAGGTACAATGAGGGAGGAAGTCCCAACCTCATTTCATAGGTAACATTTGTTCATCAGAGTAACAAAAACACCTTATGCCACCAAAAGGGTATGGAGGTTTGTTTCATAACTATTTCGGTATCAATAGTTATTATTATTAGTTTATTAATGAGAATAATAATCGTATTAAATTAAATCATTTATAAAAGGATATAAAAAGATATAATATGAATTAAAATTTGTTATAGTATAAAATGATGGACAAAGTGTATCGGTTACACCAGATGAATAGCATTTTACTAATTTTATTACTCTAATGGCATCTCCAACCAAACTTCAAAGTGAACCAAACTTCAAAGTGACATAAACGTTAGTTTAGCATAAAAATGATGTTCCAACCATATTTAAATTTTCACACCAAATAAGAGTTATAACCGGTGTTGCACCAAATGTGAAAAAACTATATTCATTTGTTGTAATATATACAGTTTTAATTATTTTTATTTTATCCTTCATTTTATATTTAAAAAAATTTAATTCCTATTACATCTTTTTGTGACTTAAAGATTTAATTATATTTGTATTAATTCGTTTATTATTTTAATTATATTTATAATAAAGTGTAATCAGTTTTAATAATAACTATTGAATATATTAATATAAATTTACTTATAAAAATCAGAGGTAACAATTTTGATACTAACAAATTTAAAAGAAATTAGCACTATGTAAGTATTGAAAACTACAATATAAAGATGAGTGGAGATGAGTAAATAAGATAATGTTAAAATTACAGTAATTTGATATTAAATTGAGTAATATTATTTGGCGTCGCTAGTTACACAAGAGTTTAGGTGGCATTAATGTCATAAATAAAATATATAATTTTACATTTAACTGAACATATCACTTAGGGGGTGTATTTAATTAAGAATTTTATTAACTTTTTAGGATTTAAAAAGTTTAGAGATTAATTGAGACTTATTGAGAATCTCTAAAAGGTACGATGTACTCAATTGATCTAAAAGTCACGGTGATTCAATTGAGACTTTCAAATAATTTTAAAAAATTTCTAAAAGTTATGGTGTATTTAATTAAAAATTTTTAGAATTCTCTATAAATTTTTAGGTATTCAAATTTTAATGACTTCAAGAGTCTTTTATAATACTAACTTTTAAATGGAAGGTCCTCATATAAAATTTTAAAACTTATCTCCCATTAATCACGAGATTTTGGAAGACTTTCACAATTTTTTTTTCAATCTTTCTTTTCTTTTTCCTTCTGTGAACATATATAATTAAAATTTATTTTTTTTCTATTGATTATATTAATTTTCATTTGTCTCTCTCACTCTCTTTCTTATTGTTTATCTCTATTTTTTTTTATAAAAAATTTAAATTGGATTCTTGTAACTTTTTTTCCCCTTTTTCATTCTTTTTTTTTTTGTGAAAAATATCTATTTTTTTTATTAAAGTATAAAATTTTAAATGAAAAATTTATAATTAAATTTAAATTTATTTATTTATTTATTTTTAAAAGTATATTATATATTAATAATACTGAATATTAGATTTATTGTTTATCATATATATGTATAATTTTGATTATTATTTATTTAATTAATGTCTTCAATTTTTATTCTTTTAATTTTTTTTTAATTATATGAGAAGAAGAAAGGGAAGGAAAAAAGGAGAATTGTGGGAACCAACACGTCCTATGTGAGAATTTCATATCATTGTACTAGATCCACGTGAATTATATTTCAAATGAATATTTTCAAAAGTCTTTTACATTATACAAAAGTTTGTAAAAATTTTAAAATGAAAGTCAATAGAAGTCTACCAAAAACTTCCACTTCCACTTTCACTAATTTCATAGTAATCTATAAAAGATTCACGAAATTCACAAAAATAATTACTTTAAAAAGTCTCAATTGAATACACCTCGGCACATAGATTTGTGATCCAGCACCATTAGTTTTAATTATTCTGTGAAATTGCACCAATGTGTTGAAGTGGGTTTAAAATGGTCTGATTTGGTATAAAAATATGCAACATTTGAACACGAATTTCACTGGACGTAGGTTGTATTCAAGAATGGCTTTGCCATTTTAGATACGGACTGAGCTCGTCTGCCAGAAAAAGAGTGACGAAGGCCCTGACCGACCCTCACATTAGAGGGTTGTGCCACTTTTTCCTCCCAATTGTTTAATCACGTGGGGCCTGACATCGTGAGAGGAGGTCAAAGCCTCTGTCAACCATTTTTTCGCTTTTTCCTTTTGATACACGTACAGCCGCAGGGCGATGAGCCCCATATAATTTTGAATTGAAGCAACTCCCAAAATTATTATAGTTATTGACTGTAGCTCATTAACAAGGTCGCCGACTGCTGGCAAATTAAAGAAACTCCCAGCATTTATTACGCTCATTAATTGTAGCTTATTACGATGATGCTGATTACTGGCACACGTGTGTGGTGCAAGATTCTGATTCGGTGCTGAAGGAGGGCACTGCATGTAGTACCTAAAAATTAAAATCTTGGTATACCAGCAAGATGCACTTATTAAACCGTCATTCCCAAAGTCCATTCAGTATATTTTTGGATGTGGATATCACTCCTCTCAGTAAAACGCCATCTATAGCTGTTTTGAGGTAAACAATTGCAGCCTTTTTTCAACCTATTTCATTTTTGGAAATGACTTTTTTGATGATTGCATGTTTCATTAATTGTTGCCCGGCAGTAGTGAATTTTTATTTTTATTTTTTTCCAGAGTTAAATTCAATCATGTTAACGTTTACTGTGAATCTTTGTTGTTTTTTAATTTTAGGATTATTATGCAATTACTTAGACCAAACTCTCATCTTTTGTTGTGGGGTGGGGGGGTGTGGGTGAAGTGAATCAGAATATCAATGATGCAAGTTTTTATTTAGATGCATGAGACCTTTAGTAGTAATATTGGAAAATAAGGAAACCATCCAGGAAACAAAAATGAAGATTGTGGTAGACAATTTTTAATCATGAATATTTCTTTATGTAACAGTCTGTGTTTTTAGATTAAACGGCTAAACATGATAAAGGAGTAAGCAAAGTTTCTATAGTCAAGTCTAGTTACATCTATTTATGAAAATTGCGCACTTGTCACGCATTTAATGAAAAACGAAATCAGTGTGTATGTTAGGGGCTGTTTTTTGAAATACAAATTTAAGTAAATAAAATTTTCACCTGAGTTTAACTTATAAATGAGGTGATTGAACATTAATCATTATTTTTGAAAATTTTCAATTCTTTCTCAAACTCAGTACACTGTTCAAATGGGAACTTTCAAACTTGGACGGGGGAATGTGATTTTCAAGAAAGAAAGAAAAAAAAAAAAAATTATGCATTTGAAAGAACTCAATTCTTAGTTCATTTTACAATGGTGATTGCTACCAGTTGGTTGCACATTCCTTCTATCAAGTACAATGGTATTACTCATTTACTACATTGTCGTTTTTCTTTTTTTATCAAAATGAAATGAATTAATAAGAAATTTAGAAAGACATTCTAGTTTCATAAGAACAATATGAATCTTAATCTTGAACTACAAGCATATAGTCAGAAACTTTTAAAAAAATACTTCTGACATTTTCATGAAAAATATTTGAAGTCATTTCTTCTTCTCCAACTGACACCCACAAGTTTCAAGTTTGAGCATAATGTTCAACTCGTATATTTCTTAAGGGGAGATTGATTTTAGGGAAACTAGAAATTGGTTATTATATACTTTTGGCATGATAGGTTCACAAGAGCAGAGAGACAGGAAGACCACAATTTGATTAAGTACACAATTTCCTGCAATAGAGTTATGAGTATCCATGTTGAGAAATTAATGGAAAATATTAATAATAATATGTGGAAACAGACAAGTTACCACTGCATTTACAGACAGTAATGCATTTGATGCATTAGGCCCTCCTGATTTTACAGTGCACGAATGCATGAATACGATATATGGAACTTTTCGTTTTACACGTTCTTAGTTGGTACCACTCCACAAGATACCGCTAGGGAAAAATGTTTATAGAATATCAACAGCCATGCCATCTACTTCATTTTATATTGGATAGGGATTTTTTGTGCAGATACTTTGTGTATCTGTCATTTTCTATATAGGATCATGCATTCAATTGGTAATAGAGATTATCAATAATGTTGTAACGAAATCTAAAGAAATATCACATGTAGATTTTCTATTGATAGCGACCTTGAAATTCATGATCGTAATACCAAATTCTTTTTACTAGTCATTAAATGATTTGATTTTTGGGTCTCTCTCAATGATCAAGGACAATCTAATTTCTTTCTTCAGATTCTGCTTCATTTCCTCCCCATGGTTCGCAAGAAGCTTGCAATGAAGCCGATTGAAAACTCAATATCTCTTCAAACAACATTTGCAAAGCACAAGGATGTAATTGTTAAGAAGGCCAGAGAACTATCAGTTCTGTGTGACACAGATGTTGGCCTAATATTATTTTCACCTGCTGGCCATTTAACTAGTTTTGCTAGCAATGGAAGGTTGGTATAAAATGCACTGTAGAAAATATTACTTGATTTATATCCCTCACTTTATAGATTTTTCGAAACTTTGATCCATAATTTTTACTTTTGGTTTTAGTGTTGAGGATATCTTCCTCTGTTTTGTTGACCGTCCTCATGACCTGAAAGGAGGGTATGTATATACTTATAAGATGAATAAGACAATTTTTATTGTTAAATCTAGTTGATTTCCATGTAAATTTCTTTCATTACTGATCCTTGTTAATCTTTGCAGACATACTAGAAATGAAGAGGTATTCAATATTTAGCTAACTTTGTCCTCTCTTTCTCAGTGCTCCTGCCCCTTATTATGTCTTTCTTGTTTGTAGAACTTGTCTCGAAGGCTCAAGCATTTGAAGTATGAAAGACAAATTCTCGAAAAAGTTGCTAAGTAATTCTAGCCCCCTTCCCTTTCTCCCACCCTTTTCATATGTCTGTTTTTGTACATGACTGTAATTTGCTCTTTCCTAGTGCATGTCTGCGCATGCTTTTATTTGTTCACAAAGTTCTAGCATTGGAATTTTCCACTGACAAAATTCTCATGAGACCTTTCTTTGTACTATATGAACGATTCACATCGTGACGATCGATTGACTTCAGTATTGAGGTAATTCTCTTATCATTCTCTTTGAAATGACTTTTCTGCCAATCAGAAATAACTGCACTCAGACTTAAATCTGAAAGCTTGGAAGATGACAACTTAAATACATGAACAATGCATTGAAGAACCTATTGTTAGTACGAAAGATATTAACAACAAATGGGTCAAATTTGTTGACATTGACTATAAAATAGAATGAGTAAATGTAGGTTGGTGGTATTTTTACTTAGGAAGCTGCAATCAAGTTTGGTTGTTGAACTACCGCATCCAAAAGCTTAAACTCTTATAGAGAAGATGCACTTATCTATTTATTTATTTAATTAAATTTAGTCTTCGTAACACTCCTTCACGTTAGCGTGCAGGCTGCGTGCTTGAAACATGCACAATAAATAGGTGGCAGTTAGTCTTGAATTCAGGAGAGGATGGATGAGGGGGATTAAGGACATTTGCTTCCTCCAATACTATGTTGAACCACCTTACGTAAAAGCTTAAACTATTAAAGAGATGATACATTTATTTATTTATTTATATAAATATAATCTTTAAGTAGTACTTTGACAAATATCTTAAAAAGCCTTGAGTTGATAAGTCATTTGATTATGTTATGCAATTCAGCCCATTTACAAAAGCTGGATTAACATATGCATTTGATGTACATTTACCTTTAGGCTCTTGAAGATAAACTCGATAAACTCAATCAACGACATCATGGGGCCCTGGAAAAAATGAGGTTAGAAATTGCTTCTCTTGTTTTATTTGTTTCACCAATTACAATTGTTTTCAAGCTTTTATTCTATTGTATTGAAGATATAATATTTTACTTCTTTTCTTTGTAGGTGGTATGAACCCAATGTGGAGAAAATAAATTCTATTCTTGAAGCTGAAGTCTATGAGCAGTTTCTTACAACTGCCATGCAGCATATACAACAGTCGAAAGTGAGTATAACCTGTGACATACAGAAGCTTGCATATTTCTATTCTCTTTGTTTGTGTTTGTCACTCCATCATCAAATATGGATATGGTATTATGAATAATTCTTTTACTGGCAGGCCAAATTGCTCGATAACGAGGTTGGCCCACTTAGATCTGAAAATATTGAGGTAAAATGATTTCGGAAGGGAATAATGAGTTGCTAAAAATCCACATATTTACTATGCAAATGAGCTGCACATTTTGAAAATAAACTATTTGCATAAATTTTTAGTAGCTTGACTTGTATATATTTGTTACATGGATTACCTGTAGACTAATATAGAGGATGCAGCTTTCATAACTGATCACTCTGCTGATATGGACCAAAACAGGTAATATAATCCTCTCTCATTTTGTTTTGTTCACTCAGGTAGATAAAATGAAACAGGCAGAAATCATGTAAAACATCTCCAAGTTTAAGCAGCCATTCATTTTCCTAACCTTTAGGTTCTCTGTATCTATCAGACTAGTTAACATGCACTAGAAAATTTTGCAGTGGTATGAAAATTTTGCAGTGGTATCCATTAAGACTATTTTACAAACACCATAATGGACCATACAAGAAATTATGCATAATACTAGGTAAATAGTAGTATGGCGCATTAAAGTGTTAGTATATATAAGTTTTGAATTCAAAAAAAATGCTATTTTGCCCTATCTTTCTATCTGGCCAAGACCCATGTCCTTGCTTAGTACTATATTATCAAGCTAGGTTAAAAAATATAGTGTAAATAATGTTCTTTTGAAAAAAAAACTAAAAGATAATATCCACCTTAATCCCTCAACACCATGCACATAGTGTCTCTACTCTAATTATATACTTAATTCCTTGTATGGTCTAATTTGGTATGCCAAGCACCATCTTAATGTTTCAAATCAATGTTCATTGTCTCTCTTATTCAAAGGACCATTTGGAACTATGATCTCTCTTCTTTTCTCTCTAGATTTTCTCCTTCCTTTCTTTTCTTTCCGTATGCTGCTCCGCAAGACAGAAACAAGAGAACCAAGTAGGCTGAGGCGATGTCAGAATTTTCATATCTTTTTATCTATTTAGTGGTTAATCTGCTAGTTTCATTTATACCACTCGGTCTTCCTTTTCTATTTTCCTTGAAAACTGTGGAACCAATATTGATTCCCAGGGCATCTTTTTTCCAACCCCTTCAAAACCTAATAATTTCTTGACTAGGCAGTTAATTATATTAAAATATCTCTATTCGTTTCAATCTTGGCTGTATGTCTTCAGGTGTTCTGTGGGGGTTGAAGGTCATGCTGGAACATGCATTCCAATGGGTCCCCACCTAAGCCTTAGCTTCATAAAATCACAAAAGCCGTGGAATGCAGTGGGTGGGGAGCTGACTCCCAAGTTGGACGGCTTCTGAATGGAACATATCGTGTCTTAATCTGTTGCAGCAAACTCTTAAATAATATTTAAACTTGCGTATGCCGAAACAAAGGCAACATATACTTGAATCTCTAAGATTTTCTTATCTAGTTTGATAATTATAAACGTGCTTAAACCTTGGAAACTCATTGCTTAAAATGGTTCAGCTACATATTTCTAAAGAGACAATTCTGTGGCCTATTTACAATATTTTGATGAGCTGAAGTGTTTTCATGGTTGAATGGCTGTTCTTTGTTAATTTTGAATACTAATCAAAAGTCATTCAATCGTTTTGAAACGATTGCTATATTTCCTTTTAAGGCTACAAGCACAATCATTCTTTCGTGCCGTGATTTATTCTGACCTCTTCAGGCTACACTTGAATTAGGTTCTTTATATTCCAAGCTAATCCCATCAAAATGTGGAATCAAGTATGGTCATTGTCCTTGAAAGTTCTTTAGCTGAATGTTAGTGGTTAGTGAGGTATATTTTCCATTCCAACTTAATACTATTTGGTAAATGAATTATGCTGCTCGAACGGGGATTGGGGACAGGGTTTTTGACAAGTGCTATGTTGGCAGCACTTGTGTGACTCTTTTTTTCCCCCAAACTGCCCAATGAAATATTGACACACGTCCCCCGATTTTAAACCTTGTCACTCATCTTGTTTGTGTAGGTAAACTGTTGGTAAATTGTATCGTGCTAAAAAACTTGAATCTGTTCAGTTCATGCTAGTGCTTCCGCTCTGCATCGTCTTAGCCCAAGTCAGTTGCCCTTGCCTAACTTCTCTTCCGACTATTGTTTTCGGTAGTGGACAGGTTTATTTTCCCAAGTCATTTGCCCAAAATTTCTTAGCCCATGTCAGCTCTGCTTTAAGTTTTCTTCTCTTATATTCTTTTCTTTGAATAACTTTCCATGTTAGGGCTTTTCGAATTTCAATTAGGGCTTTCCGAGTTTCAATCAGGGTTGATAATATAACATAATAAATCTTTGTGCTTCATTTCAGAAGATTTTCGTGCACGACACATTATATAAGCATGGAGACAGAAAAAAAATGAAGGAAAATTATAAGCATTGGTTATGTTTGTGGCCAAAATTCTTGTTTGAAATGATTCTGAAAGTGAATAAGACTGCATACAACCACTCACTAAGGCGTGTTTCGTATGCTGTAGATATGTACAAATGAGCTCTTCTCTTTTCGTTTAGATTTCTTCACCTTTAGATGATATTTTTCCCATCGTAACCTGTTTCTTCCATTTTAAAGAACTGCAATTATCTGGTTACCTCCCTCCTCCTATTATAATTGGGGTTGGGATTTTCTAATAGTTGGGCATGTTACTGAATCACTAATTATCACATATAATTTGTACTATTTTAAATCAACAGCAGCATGATGTTGTAATAAATCCTATTACAAGGTGTAGTAGTTTCCCACTTTTGATTAAGACTCTACGAAAAGTAGCTTCCCACTTATCCTTCGTTTATATTTTTTGGAGTTTTGAAACCGCTAAACAGTGTCATAGTCCCCTCTGTATTATAATTGAACCCAACATAATTTAACAACTATTTTAAAAAAATTCAGCAAGAAAAGGTAGTATAATTGAATAATTAGTAGGAAAATAAAAATTCCTTATAATTCAAGAATACAATATTATCTGGATGTTTACATTTATATTATATTAAGAATAAATAATTTGAATTTTTACCCGAATTTGATGGTTAATTCTTACGGTGGAAATTACATGAGCACCTGTTTTTTTTTTAAAATTTACATTTCATCAATCCTATTTGAAGTTTAATTTTTCAGAATTCAGAAATATCTCTCCTCTCTATCTTCGTTAATCCAATAAATGTAACGTCCCAAATTTTATTGGCCTAAATTTTGGGGAGTTATCGATATCATTCCATAAACATACTTGATGTGGAAATATTTAATTGAAAATTTAAAACCCTTACATTTATTTGAACTCTTAAATACTAAATAAAATAAACACAGTGTCATAAACTTTAGAACGTTAAATAGAAACAAAGAAAACTCACCAAGTACTCTTAACAAATTTATTCGTGAACATTTCCCTAAAGATTTTACTTTGTAGCTCGCACACCGCTCACTTCCATCCACGTCGACCGTATTGACGTGAAATATTAAAATTTGAAGGAGTGAGTAATTTTACTTAGTAGGATACGTGCTTTCAAACAATACGATAACTTTTGAAACATGAACCTATGACATTACATACCATCATTTTATCAAGAGCAATTAGTGATCAATCAAAAGCTCTAACACATTTGAGAAGACCCGAAGGCGATCTCACACTTCATTTCCTTTCATTCCATAGGGACCCGTAGGTCAATTAGCATTTCATGAAATAAATTACGTAAGAAATATTACACTATTGAAAGGACGGGACAACTTGCACATAGCATCCTACCTCGTTAGCTTGAATGAATATGAAAGGCAATACCAGAATAACTTTTCAGATTTTTACTTCTGCCTATTATTGTGTTGAAGTATATGTTTTTTATTTTTCTTGGGTGAGAATTATTTGGACGTAATGGGTTATTTCTAGGGTCCATATCAAAATTTAGGGCAAGTTTGATAGCCCTTTATTTTTTAGGGAATATGGAAAAAGAATTCCAACATTCACTTTTTGCATGTTTGATTGACAAAATTTTTCAAGGAATTCGTTTTTCACCTTTGGCCGCCACTTCAGCATTTTCCATCTTTTTCTTGAATTCGAATTCTCATTCCAGGCACTGTAGTGATTTTATTATTTTTTTTGAATTTTTTTATTTTTATATTTTTTTGGTTGGCAATGGAAACAAATTTTAAGAATTATTGTAAAAAATAATTGCCTTTAATTGAAATTTTCCATGTAAAAGAAAGTCAAACGAACACCAAAAAATAGATAATTTTCCTATTTTTTTTGTTCGCAATGGAAACAAATTTCATCCCCAATACCAGTAAAATCCATCCTTTTAATTGATAATTTTCATGTAAAATAAAGCTAAACGAGCCCCAAAAAATACTTTTATTTCAACATTTTTCACGTGAAAAATTATACCAATCAAACACAATAATTTACAATTTTCAGGAAAACAATTTTTAGACAATTCAATTCCCTGTAATTCATTTTCAATTCAATTCAATTCCATTTTTTGCAATTAAATGGATCCTTAGTATAATTGAAATGATGGTGCCAATTAAATAAAGTCTACCATTTACGTTTACCTCAATTAAATGTGATTTACAGTTATGCGTGGGACAGACTCCCACAAAAGGTGGTAGTCAAATTTCTGCTTTTTGCTATCTAACATAATAACGTGTTTTACTCAATTTCGAAATACGCGTGACAGAGTCAAAAGAATAGTATATAAACGAATAATGCTATGTATTGTATTCAAACTGTGAATGTGAAAGAAATGAACTTTTAATAGGCCAAAAATCTGCATATATGTCGTATTTGTCTCGTCTAAATCTCAGTATTCCATATAATCAACATTTATTTCTTTTCTATGTAAACAACGCATGGCAGCCCACACTTACCAAATTCCAAAAAAATCTAGGCAATTAAATCATTTTAAAAGGAACCTACCTTATCTACCATCTAACCTATAATTTCAAAAATCAAAATGGGACACTCCAATTGGCAGTATCTCTATTTCCATTTAAGATTTTAATTCAATCAAAATACTAATTTTTAACAACTTTTTCAAGCTATAATATCTTGGTACTGAGTTACTCGAATCAATTTTTCTTGAGCCTAAAATATATGATTAATTACGAGCTATCCAATAGGTATAATATTAATATATTTATCATTACTCTATCACTTTTTAATTTTTTTTTACCCAAATAAAAAAAATGAGTTTAATACCTACATCATTTTTGTCCTCATTTTTTTTTCAAAATATAAAACAAATATGTTTTTATTATAAAATTTTTAGGGCCTTACAATCTTACCCCCTAAAAATAATTTCATCCTCGAAATTATCTTATTTAGATAAAAATCCTGTGACATGGCCTTGATCTCCTCTTCTCCGGACTTCTAAAAATTTTACCTTCTGCTCAAAGCATCATATAATCGCATAATAGTTTCCCAACCAATCTATTCCTAAGATGGCGAAAAAAATATACTTTGTCTCTAAAAGGTATATGTTAGCTATAAATCATAAGAAGTTGGCATTAAACGTACTGCCAACAGGATAGCAACTTCTGGAACACTAATCACTTCTTTGCAAACCGCATGAGATTTAGCAAGGAAAAAAGTATAAATAGGGAATGGGCAGCTTCTACATATATAAGAACATAAGCAAGTAGTTCAGATATTAGTAGAATACCTGCCATCATGTCCTAATTCTCAGTTGCCTCTTGTTAGATTAAAGCAAAGACTTTAGTTGGTCCCTTTTTACTGTGTTCATTGCCCTTTTTGGCAGGGGTTCATGGCAATTGGTAACAATATGACCATTCTTTCCATATCGATAGCATACATTCTTTCCATGCAAACACTCGCCTCATAGGCCTTATTGCACTTAGGACATGAAGTAAGAACATTATTCGGCTTACTTGACCCTGACTACCTTTCAAAACTAGCCATCTTATTTTGTCCATTTCCTTTACTTTCGTTTGGCCCATTCCATTTCCTTTTTCCTGAAAATACAGTACTTTCTTGAGTTGTTTGATCAAGTTCTTGAGCTCGTTGTAGGACCTAACTGTACGTGGTAAATTCATGAGATGCCAAGATTCCTCCAATTTATGGGCATAATCCGAGTTTGAACCTTCTAGCTTTCTTTTGCTTTGTATCCAATAAATGTGTTGCAAACCTAGAAAGTTGTTCGAGCCTCCTCTCATAATCAACCAATGCCATCTTTCCTTGTTTAAGTTGCAGAAACTCTGTCTCTTTACGATCCCTCAAGGCTTGTGGAAAATATTTTTCCCATCACCTCTTTTTTGAAACGTGCCCAAGTAAGTTTGCTTTGTTGTGCCTCAGTCCTAGTGTGTGAAGCAGCTTTTACTAGTGGCCCACCACATCCACTAGCATGAACTCCATACATAAAACCTTATTGGGCATCGGTACAACTGAGATGCTTGAAAATTCATTCTAAACCCCTTATCCATTCCTAGGTTGCCAAAGGACCAACCATCCCGTCAAAGGTAGGGGGCTTGTAACGACGAAATTGTTCCACAACTGAGCTCGTGGTGTTGGAGTTAGTTTGTGCATT